TAACTATTGATATCGTTGAGGCTTTGGTATCTTTGAGAGATTTTGTACCCTCTATCATGGGGCAATATGAATTGGATCCTCAAGCTATTTATATCTGGCGCTGTTGCCTGCAGGTGCAGAATCATTATGTGAACATATCCCGCCGTCTGGTATGCCAGTATATTTTCCTGAACGAAGGTTTTTTTTAAATATTATTCAGTGTTCCAGTTTATTTGGTTTCCTGGAAATCCTGAAATGGTGGTCTTATAAATTCCTGTAAATATAGCATATAGCTTGTGTGAAATCCTGTTCATCCTTTGTTATTTTGCTATTGGATCCTGTCCTTGGTTCAACATAAAATCCTTCATGTGTTTGACATAGGCATCGGAAACCTTATGAAAAATGGATGTCCAGCTGCAGGACAAAATACTGGCCGTACAGACGGGGTTGTATATGTTATATAAGCTGCAAGTGGCCCTCTCTATGGTTGATGGAGGGACGTCCTTTCATGCCGCTTACCTGCTTCCGAATCGCAAGGCAAACCATGTGGCGAAGAAGCTCCACAGACATTGGTGCTCTCTCTCTCTCTCTATGGCACTCCCGGCACCGTGTGCATCGATCAGGGAGGAGAGCTTGATGGAGCTTTGGTTTGTTGGCTTGAAATGCAACTCCAGGTGTTCTGGTGCGCGATCAGGTAAGCAACATGGTTCTTCTGAACGACTTGGCGGCTTGCTGGGCCATGCATGGCACGCAATCATTTGGCAATTTGAAGCAAAAGGCAAAAGGCACGGCTGAGATGAAAAAAGCCTTGGCTGCAGCCATTCAGGCGAAGAATCAAACAGTGACCAAAGGAGGACACACACCATATCAAAAGGTATTTGGCCGTGCTCCACCTTCTCCAGATTTGCTTGATGATGACGTGACAAGCAATCTTGCTCTTCGTGAGTCCTCGAGCACGGAAGGAGAACTGATGAGGAGCTTGGAGATGAGAGCTGCAGCAAATGTTTCACTGATGAGGAAAGACTGCACCAGGTGAGATGGTTTTCTTCTACGCACCTCAATCTACTGCAACGCTTCAAGAGAGAAGGAGGAGCATGGAGAGGGCCAGCTGTAGTGCTCATGAACAAGAGCACTGAAAGATACTACGTGAGCTGGCGTGGACGATGTCGTTTGGTGGCAACATTCAATCTCAGGACATGCTCAAACCTGGAGGGTGGAGACTTCAAAGGCAGGCAGGATAATAGAAGTTCAAAAGTTGGAAGATCATGGGGAGTTTGAAGACATGACGCACCTCCCAACACCACCCGAGGAAGAAGAGAAAGATGAAGAGATTGGATGGCAGCCACAAGAACAGGTGATCGTGCAAAAGAAAGGAGGAAGGCCAAAGAATAGGGCCAAGGAGATTGCCAAGAGTTTGAGAGGCTTCAGGAAAGTGCAAAGAACGATCAAGAAGAACAAGGAAAGAGGGAAAGGATTCCAAAGATGAAGTTGACTGGGGGCACAGTCATCGAGGAGAAAAGACAAGAGGAAGAGGAGAGACCAGAAGACAAGGCAAGGCCTACGGCCTACGGACATACCGGAGGAGAGTGAAAGAAATTGGCCAAGCTTTGAAGGAGGCGATCACAAAGCAGTTGGGAAGAAGTGATAGTGAAGGATTCAAGAAGAGATTGAGGAAAACATTGCAAGATGATGCCCCTCTGGGCCTGAAGCATCGACGCATGGATGATCTCATACCCAAGACCGGCTTGTGTGAAGAAGAGCTGGGACAACGATTCACACCAGAAGTGATGCACTACACCGTGCTAAGTTTGGTGACAGGCTCAGGACGGGCCAATGAATGGGCTTCAAGACAAGAAGTGAGAAAGATGAGAGATCTCCTGGACTTGCCTATCACTGGCATACACTACCACAATGCCCCAAGGAAGAAGTTTCCAAAGCCACCAAAGGGAGGTTGAGGACGCATCACCCTTATGTTCGGGGAGAAGAGTGGGACAGCCATCGTTTGTCAGGAGGACCACAGTGAAGCACCACACTCTTGGAGAGGAGCAACGTTTTTCTCGAAAGAGGAACAGGTCTCAAAGAAGGAAGGATACGTTTTTGTAGAGCTCCCAAGTGGCATCCATGAGGTCAAGGTGGAAGACTTTGAAGAACGGAAAAGACTGAGAAGGGAGGAGGAAGAACAACAGGCATTCCAAGAAGCTTACCTCCTCATGAACTGTGGCCCAATGGGAAGGAGCTAGACCCAAGGCATTTCAATGAAGAAGAAAGAACAGCCTTCACCAAGACCGATGCAAAGGAGTGGACATCGTGGATTTAAAACAAAGTTGTTTGCAGGTTGAGTGATGAAGAGATCAAGACCGTCAATCCCAATAACGGGCTCCGTGCACCAGCCGGCATGATCCGGGTGAACAAAGGTGAGCTGGATGGGACCTTTCAACCAAAGTCCCGACTGGATCCACATCTGGGATCCTTTCACTCGGATGCCCCAACAACCACATGGTCAGCAGTGCAGTTGACTAAGAGCATCGCCCTCACAAAAGGCTGGGATGCTGCATGCTTCGATGTGAAGCCAGTTTTTCTGTCGGGAAAGCCAGTTGAGAGAAGAGTGATTATCACAGCACCACCAGAAACAACACCTTCGTCGATGACATGACGGGCTATGTGCTGAAGATCCAACCAGCTGAAGTGAAGACAGAGAAGAACATGAAGCTGGAAGGAGAGCAGTTGTCTTCCTACAGGAGGTTGGCTATGCAGTTGAGGTGGCCGGCTCATTGGGTGATGTCTTAGTTTCTTTACCGAGTGAGTGTTTTGGCTCAGTTGGTGGGAACAGCAGAGGGCAAGGACCTCATTACAGCCAACCAGATCCTCACCCAGATGCAGAATGCTGCCAAAAATGGAGGTGCCAAGAATGTGTTGCACCCCATCCAAGGAACTCAATTGTTTGTGAGCTACTTTGATGCGTCCCTCGGAAAAACGGAAGCTATGAGTGCTCAACAGCCTAAAGTCCACTTCGTGACGAGCAAGGACGTGGAGGTTCGCCCGACAAGGGCTAGCCCGCACGGGGGGTAGAGGACGCTACTACGAACAAAGGGCATCGCTACTAGGAGCAAGGACGCTACTGGGGGCTCCTGGCCCTACTACTAGGAACAAGAAGCTATTAGAAACGAGAACCTTGCTAGCAGCAAGGTGCACCGGGTGGTTCAGTCGAGTTTGGCCGCCGAGGCTCGCCCCATGACTTTGGCAGCTGACAGGTGACAGATCCTTTACAACAGAGCTGCTCTGTTCCAAGTAGAGACCTTAGTAAGGCCAGGAGCCCCTAGTAGCGTCCTTGTTCTTAGTAGCATTGCTTGATGCATTACAATGGCTGTTGCAAAATCTCCCCTCAATGGAGAAAGGAGTTGAGTGTTGGGGGAACCATCATAACTGATGCAAAAGGGCTCAACGACCATGTTCAAAAAGCCGGAAGCATGGCGAGTGAGAAACAGACTGCCTGTTACTACTAGTAAGGCACTTCTTTCTAATAGCGAACATTGTTACCACTAGTAAGGCACCTGTTACTACTAGCGTGGCACTTGTTACTGCCTTGGACATGTTGGTGAAGATTGGTGGAGGACCCGGTGCTTTGTTTACGTTGGGTTCGCACGTGGAAGCAGTTGGCTGACCCGTTGACAAAGAAGATGGCCACAGAGTTGTTGCAGAAGTTTCGTGCTTCACAAATGCTTGGCCTTGTGGCCACCAAAGAAGACAATGAAGAAGAAAGTCGACGATCAGCCATTTGCAAAGCACAGAGGGACCAACGCAAGCAAAGGATGGCAAAGACTTCCAACAAAACCTTCCTTCCTCAATGTGATCATTACAGAGGCAAGTCGGCTTGTGGTTGGAATTGCATGTTTTTGAAAACAGGCATCAATGACCGCACGCGCTAGAAAAGCATTGCGAGTTTGCGCGTTGCACACACATTTGCATTTTCTTGTGCGCCTTGGTTCGGTTACCCTTGGAACCCTACTTTTCTTGGGAGCGGCGCCCCATTTGCAATCTGCATTGATGTTTCTCTGGTGTGTCATATTTCGGGCCTTTCCAAATTTATCCAAATTTCATGTTCATGAAATGCGCACAACTTCATTTGGGTTTTATATACATGTTTTAATTATATAAGCAAAAAACTAAACGATGACCGGAGAACGGCCAAAAAACACAATTTCACCATCATAAATTCATGGATTACAAAAACTCTAGGTTCATGTCACCGGGCTGCACGAGGCCCGGGCAAAGCATCGACATGTATGGACACAGAGAACAACACCCGGGATAACAAGTGAAGGACGACAGGAGGGTCACAGGCTTGGGGCATCAAGAGCTGGCTGTGCATACAGGATGAGAACACCCGGAGCATAAGAGGACACCCCAGAGACAGGGGCGGCCACAGACTGGGACCGGCTTCTGCGTAGAGTGCCCCAACAGTAAAATGCATCGCATGAAAGGGAAACCAAAAATTCCAGTGAATACATACAGACATAAGGAGAATGCTGGATTTGCTCTTTGCTTTACACTTGTCTCTCCACCGTTTCTCCGTGTTACCCTGCAAAAAATACAAAAACGATTTGACTCTTCATTTCTTGATTCTGTTCGTATGGGTTCCCGCCTTTGTTTATCTTCTTTATGTTCTTTCTATATTTATATCATTCATTATCTTTCTATGTTCCTTTGACTTCTTGACTATGCTCGCTTATTCATATATGAATGTTAAAAGAAAACGCAAGCAAATCGTCACAGCAACCCCACGGCTGCCTTTCGGGCTCTGCTCAGCGGTTGGCCGGTTTTGACCACTATCCCCCGAGAAAACACCAACAAACTAAACTGGCTAACTCACACCGCACCCAGCCAGCAACCCACCCAGGGTGATGAAAGCTGATACGGTTGGCTTTCCAGGCATGACATCAGCAAATCCACAACCCCAGCCCCAACTCCATGCGTCACTACCATGATTCCATCCAAGTGATGCACTCATCAGGGTCTCCGTCCTTCAGAAATGCCCAGTCTCGCACTGCCAGATTTGCCAGCAATTCGCAGACCTCGCAGCAATTGCAAAATAAGCATGCGATCCACGAGACACAAGGAAAGCAAGCGGGCTAATGCTTGGCCAAGTGTGGCTCAAGTCATTTCCAAGAAAAAGTCCAGCCCCAGCTGCGTAAAGAATCAAGCAAGTTGTTGAGAGAATTCCAATCCAAGGCGGGCTGATCCAATCGTTGGCACGGTAGTCAATGTCAACGCATGTCAGGGTAATGTCACAAATCACCACCAGACCTCGCAAATGCATTTGCCAAGGAATGAGCACGTGAAACCGAAACTCCAAAAATTGTCGTTTAATACTCAATCACAGCAGCTTGATAACACATGTCTGGCCATGCAACGAAAATGCAGCAAATAATGAACAGAAACAGCACCGAGTCATATTTGTTACTCTCAACACTTGAACACTCATATATTGGCGTCACCGGAAAGATGTGCAACCTTGTGCACAGCCCAGGTGCAAGTAAAAAGGTCCCAGTAATTGGACTTCCTCAGGCAAAAAACGCTGGCAGGTCAAAACTGCATAGCAGCAAAGCTTGAATAGAAAGGCCCTTCAGCTACAGTAGCTGGGTTAAGTGAAAAAAAAAAAAAACATGGCCGCAATGGCCCTAGCTACAGCACAAGTGGCATGGCTTGACAACCTTTGGCACAGTCACACTATGTCACGCGTGGAGCAACTAAGCACCCCGTGGCCGCTGGCAAAGGGCATCGAAAGCATGCAAGCGAGGCTCAATACTTTGGCAACCGTCACTCTGCACATGTTCATCGTCTCCTTGTCGATGCTTCGTGTCCTTCCAAATCAAAAGAAGTGAAAAGCAACAGCTCAGAACAAAAAATTAACAAAAACATCAACGACCCGACGACCAGTGCACAAATGTGCCATTCAAGGCTTGCCAGCAGAAATGGTCGATCATCCTCGACTTGCCCTTCTTCAAGAATGCCGAGGCCGGCTTCACTACCTTGAAACAAGATGCTCCAAGCATGAAGGGTTCCAGCAAAAAAGGACCAGTGAGCTTGTTGCACCATCACGATGCAGATTTACTACATCAGTCAAGTCAAAAGGCCTTGCAAGTGTTCAGCACTTGGTCGTCTTGACTTGCACAGCATGAGATGGCGAGCTATAACCAAAACATAGGATACTGAGGAAAACTACAGCTAGTGATTACCACTATTTTGCATCCGCTGTCGTGCCAATTTAGCATGCAGTGCGTCCGACCAGCCATGCTGCCGATTTTGCTGGCTCAATCGCTGGAGCAGCCAGCCAACCAGACTCGGACTCAGCGTCTGCTCCATCTGCACTGGATGCGTCGGACGCATCCTAGGTCAAAAACGCAAAAGCTCAAGGAAATCACCCACTGTGGAATCTTTGGACTGCCCCCCAAACTCCTCCAGCCTCCTAATTTCTAGAAACCTTTCAGGAGTAATTGCAGCTCCGCCTTAATACAACACCAAATCCAATTTGGAAAAAGGCGCGGACAAAGAAGCAGATCCGGAGCCCGAGTGCTCACTGCCATCTGACCTGGCAACAGAATGGGTTCCTTTAGAGATCTTTACAATAAATGTTTAACTTCTGATCATCTGTCAAAGACATGCCCAAGAGATTCAACACGAGCTTTTCTGCAGTTTTGTTTGGGTTGACCGTGCCTCTGGCAGGGATTCTCCGAAGATTGTTCTGCATCTGCCATTCAACTCAATTATCCCCTCTCGCGGCTGGCGGGCTGAGTGGGGCTGAGTGGTCATGCAGCAGAACAAGGCGGGATCATTGAAAGTGCTGCCTTGAGGCCTTGCGCCAGCAAATGGCGGCGGTGGCATCAAACGCATTCCCATCAATGCATGTTCAAAGGCACACTGCTCAACTAAGCTGCTCGAGTCTCCAGTGAGACCGCAAGAGCACAATCTACAGGTTCTCGAATTGGCTTTTGGTTTCAAAGCAACAATGGCACAGGCACACCACCAGTTTGATGCAACATGCAACAAAACCTTCACAAAAAACGGGCATTGTTTGCAAAATCTGCCAGCTAGGAGTACAACTTTGCCTCGGCTATGACCGGCTATGAATGGTCTGACAACATCACCATGCCTGCCGCCACGGGCACGCTGCCTCAAGCAAAGACTCAACAGTCAGACAGTCAATGCTATACACATGGGTACACCCTTCCCTCCTTTCTGTCTTCCTCCCTCCCTTGTACAGCCATGCAAGTCTATCCGTGTCCATCAGGGGTGAGAAGGGTTTCGTATTCGTGCCCGTGCGCGGATTTCATGTTTGGTGCCCGCTAGTCAGCAAGTAAGTAAGCTTAGCAAGTAAGTAAGCAAGTAAGGATGGAAGCAAGCAAGATCAAGCAAGCATCAAGATCTAGCAGAGTCTAGCATCTGCTGGATGCAATTGCACTCACCGTGGATGTAGTATCAACCATGTGTGCCAGCTTGGTTGCGGTTTGAAACTAGAGGACCGTCCTGCTGCAACCAGAGTAAGACTGGCCATGGGCCGGGCTACCTTCTGAATAAACTGGTTGTGGTTTTCTTGCTGCTCTGGTGGTGGATGATGGTGATGAGTCGAGTTGAGTTCGGTGTTTTGCCCATTGCGGTCCAAGCGTGGTTTTTACATGTTTGAGATCGATCGACTGGACTTAGCAACTCGGTTTCTGTTGGGATCGTTGTTTCTGTTTGAATGGCGTTAGTCAGTCGTGTATGTTTTCTTTTGTTTTTTTGCGGCTAGCGGCTATATTGGCAAATTGTGTGCTGCTTGATGCATTTTGGCCTCGGAATTCTGGTCCGCAAATTTGCTGCCTGGTCGAGAGGGGGTGGTTTCTCCCGGACTGTGGAGCCCAAGGAAGTGGCAACAGAAGATCCATGAAGATCCCAAGCCAAACATCCATAATTGGCCAAGATCCGCTGTCACGGCTTATGGCTGGCGGCACGCGAACTCGTCCAATGACCAGCAGAAAAGGAGCATCCAGACCGTCGCCTTGGAATTTTGCAATTCCGTATCACCGCTGACGGCGGCCTTGCCGTTTTAGGAGAAGAAACAGCCCGCATCAGCGTGGCCTCGGGTCTCACAATGGGAGTATGGCGGGCTTTCACCTTCCCTTCATCGTGCTGGATACACTACTTTCAAACCGGACTGGTTCGCTTCCAAAAGAACCCTTGGCACTGCCTACACAGTGAAACTTGCACAATTTCACATTGAATGGTGCTGTTGTGCATGGCATGCCAGTAGCTTGAAAGTTCCAACGATACCAAGTTGTTGTCATTTGGGAAGTGGAGATCGGTCATCTCATTGTGACAGACCTGTGGATGACACACCAGAAATGGGTTTCGTGCGTGGGCAGCTTGGGCTCGGGGACCTCCTCATTCGCACAATTCAAAAGTGCTCGGCCCTTTGGGCTGTGGGACGCCTGGATGTGCAGATTGGCCTCTCTTGTCCGAAGGCCAAATGCTGGCAACTGTTTCACTCTGGATCGCTTCAGATATCACTTCATCAATTCATCAATGACCATAGCAATGCAAAACAACCGTGGATTCATCGGCAGTTTCAGGAGATGCTGGACATCTCGCCGAAACCTGCATTATCGGGCATGATTGACGATTGCACGAAATTACATACAGTAAGATCAATGCTGGACTCGATGACCAGCTGCCATTCACTGTCACTAGTCACTAGCTGCACCCTGCATTGTCTAAGACTTCAACTGCACCCGGTCTATCTGGGTGCTGACGTCGACAACGGCGGCGACAGTGGAGCAGCACTTGTTCCTCTGGATCTTTTCACCGTGCTTCTACTGTGCAACTGACCACAGCACAGCCCAACCTCATCAAGCTGCAGTCACATGACAGTCATCCCTCACCAAAGCCGCTCGCGGCAGCAAAGGCAAAGTCTGATCAGCCAGGTGTGAAAAGTTGTGAATTGAAACTAGCGACCGGCCCCTGTTTCACCAGAATCGCAGAACGACCTTTCGCATTCAAAATAGCTGATGTTGCGCATGATCGTCGTCTAGTTTAGGACCGGAAATTACTTCATGAAAGCCCCGGACATAATTCAAGCAATGCAAATCAAATCTTCTCTGCTGAGTGGGTTCATGTCAAATCCAACATTGACAGTCTCTGTCTGCCACACATGCACGCCAAGAATGTACGTACTGTATCGGTTTGTCCCATTGCTGACTTGTTACTTGTTGATGCTCTGGCTCCAGTCATCCGAAGGCCCTTGATAGCTACCAGCTCTCTGCTCAAGGCACTTCTGCAGCATGCTTGCTATATCTTGCTATTGCTCTACCAGGCCATGATGGGCCTTACCTTTAACATCCATGAACTGTGGGGTTCCGCCCTTCACGACCCGAACCGTCCCGACCTTCACGCCATTTCACACCTAGCATGTGCCTATCCCTTGCACCCAACTGATCCAGCAAGCTGGTGGCCAAACGATTTCCACCAACTCTGATCTTCATGACTGTGAGTGTGAAGCACCATTTGGGGGCTCAAGGTCTTGTTGAACGCCTGAGCCCAATCAACAGGCTTGAACAATTCTGACTTTAACGAGCTTAGGCTTAGCCACTGACTGCTTCTGCAAGTGCAAGTCTGGTGGCTTGCAAGTCCATCTTGCGTTTCTCCTCACTCTTCACATCACTCTCTACGGCCCTACTGCCGCACGGACAGCTATTGTCCCCTAAGTCTCGATCGCTTGCTCGCTGCCATAGGTGCATCCGGCAGTTTAGGGTGAGACTGTCCATGACGAGCTATTTGCACCCATTGATAGCTTGGGCAGGAACACAGTCATCGCTGTGAAGATGTCAGTTCAAGCTTGACGTTGTTTACATGGTGCCAACGTTGCCAGTTTCATTTATCACTAGGCATTCGAACGACCGCATCGCGACAGCAAAAGGTCGCTGCTTGCCTTGTTCTTTGCTTGTTTGCGGCCACGCCTGTTTCTTCCCAATTTGCTTTTTGGGGTTGATTCGGCCATGCTGCCTGGTATGTGCACTGGACCTCAAGCACATAGTGGATTTGAGGGCATCCACTGCCTGGTGTTGGGGCTCCCAATGCAATTCCGTGGTCAGCCTTCGCATGGGCTTGGCACCAACCTCGACAACAGCATCAGTATGCGGCTCCATGTATGGTCAATCCTGGGGTGACCCCAGCACCAGCCCAGTGCAGCCCCAACAGGCGGGACCAGCCACAGGAGCCGGCAGTTGGTCCAAACCGAAACCCGCATCAGTTCAGGAGCCAGCCACTTAGACAGGAGGAGAGCCAGATTCTCCTGATGATGAACCACCAAAGGAAGATGCTTCTCCCGCCCCAACCTCAGAGATCCGGGTTGAAGCGGGGTGGAGAAGGACAACAAAGGCCGAAGAGCTCCCTACGATCAGTGAAAATAGAGGAGTTCTAGGGCCTAGGGAACAGGACAAGGCGTTTGAAGTGGAAGAAGACAATTCAGGCACAGCAGTGTTTGTGTGGGCTGGTGAGCACCAGGAAGGAAGCTCGAGACGTGGTGAAACAACACCCAGTCACATGGTTGGACATCAGCTCTTGGGGAAGAGCGTGCAAACAAAGAGCTGGAGCGGTACAGGCGCTCACCAGAGGAGAGCATTCCCAACTACCTGGCTGAGATGAGACGTCTTTGCTCCTAGTACAGCAGAGTGGATCCGGAGACTTGCTTCAGTCAAAATAAGTCAATCTCAACAGTCAAATGAATCCCAAACAACAAGAAGTTAACAGTCAAATTACTTACAGTAATTCAATCTGAACAGTCAAATGAGTCCAAAGGGTCAAGAAGCCAACGGTCTAACAGTCAAATTAGTCCGCCGGTTATGAGAAATACATAGAAATACCCAATAATCCCGATAAAGAACTCCGGCCAAAATCGTGATAGAGCCTAACCGAACCTCTAAAATATCAACGGACACACAATATGCGCAACTGCATAACAATAAAGCAGGTGCAGTGCAGGTGTTGAATTCTGGCTCAACTAGGTTCTGGTCGAACTCTCAGACTCAGATTTTTCAGTGTGTTCAGCAGCAGTTTTAAAGTGCTTGGGAAGTGCGTTCTGGGTTGAAAGCACAACTGCGGTGTGACATGGGTGTTGCGCTGATATGTACTGATATGTGACATGTGTCAACTTTTAGATGCGTGCATACACCTTGTGGATGGAGCGCACAGCAAGAACATATCCCTAAGCTCGCCTGTTCCTTTCATGTTCTACGGATTCCTTTTCTCTCGGACTGCCCTTTCTTTCTGAATATCCCTCTCACTTCTTAGCTAAGCGTATACAACCCGTCCCTTCCCCCCTTTGTAAACACCCCTCTTCGACTGTAACTGTTTGTCTTCTTGGGCACCCTTATATGGCGCGCTCATGACATAGCTTCTAGTTTAGTCTGTCTGCACATTCGTCGAATATCTGCCTCATTTATGTCACTTCAACATCGTTCTTGTTTCAAATGATGGTGATCAAGCCGCTAGCTGATTGGTGAGCCCGCCATGAACTCTACCCCTATCATCCTGTCGGCCTGCACCCTTTTCCCCGATTGACCAGTTCCAACCAGTGCTTGCTTGTCAATAAGGGGATTATTGCCGGGAACTCCAAAAGCTTTTGCTTCCGAGCTGCTGCTCCAAATATATGTCGCGACTGGTGCCTGGCATGTGCATTGAGTAGTGGGCATGTGGCAAACCTGTCAATATTCAATTCAAGGTCAGCCGGAGCTTGCTACATTGCTACATGTCGCTTTGTGCTAAGGTGAGGCGGCATGACGCGCTCCTGACTTGAATCCTGGAGGCTCCTTTTTCCGGCCTCGCCACCTCAGCTGAGCGGTAAGCCACAATGTTCAGCCACAAGTCAAGGGTGTCAGGGGTTGCCAGGGCCGTGAGGGTCACATCTGAGAGCTTCACTGTGCCTTGATGGCGACCTTGGACACATTCCAGTGCGTCACCCTCCATAGCATTTGAAGTTGCAAAGCCCAAGGGTGCAGCTCCATCAATCAGCACCTCACCTCTTGCCTGATCAATGTTACAACGGAGGCTTGTTCTTTACGGTCCATTGCTCAAATGAAGCACACAATGTGTGAACAGCATGATGTGGAGCCGTTCATGCCGCTGAATCATCTGTGGAGCTGACTATGGCATCGAGCGCAGCATGCGCCGCCGAAGAATCACCTGAATAGTGCAGTCACATCGTCTCAATTTGCTTGCCCTTTAGATCCATTTTTATCCTTTAGTAGCGTCCTTGTTCCTAGTAGTAAGGCCAGGAGCCCCTAGTAGCGTCCTTGCTCCTAGTATGGCTGCAGCATGCTTCAGCTATCTGTTTGTACATGCGTGAAATTGTATTTGCTCACCGGTCCTGCCACAGGAGTGCCTGTTGCATCCCTTGTTCTATAAGCGCGAATTGAAGCGCTATTAAGCACCACGAATGAGTTTTGCCAAACAGCTTTAGGCATCTTCACACAGAAAGCACCAAGTTCAACACAATGTGGGCTGGTGGGTTGCAAGCGATGCACACAAGCTCACAAGCCTTTGTTCATTGTGAGTGAGTATGGGCGGCTTGAAATGGTGAGCCATGTTCTTGACCTTCAACTATTCAGAAAAAAGTTGTCCATGTCCGATGTCCTTACACAGAAGGGCGGAGCAACCTCACAGGAATGTGTTCGAAGCAGAAGCAACAAGCATCATCCCCAATCAGCCCTGGGACCACTGTCAGGTATCCGCTCCTTGATTGATCCGCAGTCATGCGGGACCCAGAGCCTTCCCAATGCATATTGCAAAACAGGCTGACCCTCAAACATACAAGTAGGAATAAACAAAATGTGTAAACGCACGCCACTCTGACTGGATCATGCTTAAAAACCCAATCTGCGACCCACAGGTTGTTCGCGAACAACCGAACGTCGTCGTTGGCTTACTGATTTGTATACAGTATATATATATAGACACATATATCATATATACACTAGGTCCAGACTTTGATTGGAAATGTCTTCAAATGGGGCGCAGGTGAAGTGCCTTTGGAATTGATGGCTTCAAAGCATCGTTGTCAATTCAATGGTCCTACAGTCCTACACCTAAAATACCATCTGGCAAATCTCAACCTTTGCACAAAGGAGTTCCTCATTGGATTTCACTGGCGTTTGCAACGCTCCCCTTTGAAAAGCTCAATTGACTCAAAGCCCATGTAAGCCCTGCACGAAACCGTACCCAGGGCGTATCCTGCCAAACACTGCCACTTTAGTGACTTTAGTGAACATCTCCGTCCTAAACGACTGGTCCTCCCGAGGGTCTCCGATCTTGTGGCAAATGTCAATGTCCCCGAAGCGCTCCAACCTCGCATCAATGCCCAGGCAATGCCCTTGCCCAACCCACTTAGCATCTAGGATCCTGGCTGCGTTTTCAGTGACAAGCGGGTTGTGCCAGAGTGCACTCCGTCCTCAGGCTTGAAAGGTATGCAACTGCAAATCATGCACCAGCTACTGTGGACCCGTGCGATAATTTCTATGGTGTCCCGAACTGCCTTGGACAGTCAGTCTTAGCATTGGACAGTCAGCTTAGCATCTGAAGATGCGGCACCGGTAGACGTGCTACAACGTTTCCCAGGTCACACTGGCACCCTCAGTGCAGGACCATTGTGGGGACATTCCCAAGATAGGGCGAACCTGAGGTGGATACAAGCATGGGGAGTAGCATTCGACATAAACTGGCACGACCATACTTTGTCTTATGCTGCTGCTGCTGCTCCTCCCGAACACTGGATCAAGTGTGGCCGCTCATGTGCCCGGGGCCACAGCGGGACAAACTATATAGATATTTTGGCGAGGTGGTGAGACTTCTTGGGCTATGTAAACGGCTCACATGCATGCATGTTTGAAGGTGCACACTAATACTTATCAGCCGTCCTAAAAGTCTGAGTTTGCAATTCCACGCTGCCATCGTAGGCTGAGATTTCGTTCTTGAATAGTTCAGGTTCCTTTCATGACCCTTTGGTCATGACGGTCATGATGAGTGCGGGGTACCAGCGAAAACCGCGGCCCACCTGATGCCTTGCTTTGGCCCGTTTAGGGCAGCGGCTACATTTCACAATTGAAGGCCCAGCTACAATCACCGCGCCACGAAGCTCTGAGGGCAATTCATGCAGCTGTTCGGACTGGCAGAAAGCTCAAAAACTATCAACCGGCATGATCTCTTCAGGCTTTTGGACAAATCGAGAGAAGAAGGTCCTGGGCAAGGTGACGCTTGCAACTCACACACACACACCAGTAAGTAAGACACAGGCGTGCAGTTGGGATCGCAACAGCCGAGCACGCAAGCTCTAATTATTGGGCGGCTTTGGTTTGATCATGTTTGATCCTTCCAGCTTAGCCATGACACCCAAGTGCCAGTTGCAGGCCCAACTTTGCCACCAAGAATGGCCTCGAAGACAGGGCGAGGGCATGCCAAAACTAGATAAATCTCTGCAATTAGCGCAAAGATTTTTGCACTTTCATTGCAGGTGACAACAAGTGAGAGGAGAAGTGCCACTAGCCTTCTCCGCGCTGCACGGCGCAAGTGCTGCAGCATCAACCCCCGAAGTAAACGTCGCGCGCGCCGCCTGGAAGTCAATGCAAGTGCATCAAGCAACACGGCGCACATGGCCCATGATGCGTCTGCTACAAAGAGCTTCACAGGCTGAAAGGTGAGGATAGAAGCACACACTGATAGAGTATTTTTGTTGTGGCGAATGACAAAAGCTCAAGAGGCCTTGTTGGCGTTGGACGCCGCAAGGGGCTTAAAACGGCCTGCACAACTTTGAATCTTTCTATGCCTTCTGTACAGCTGCATCAGCTATGTCACCTGAATTGCTAAGGTCAGAGTTCTCAGCAGTGACACCTATTGCTAAAGTAGATTCTTCGACAAAACGCACCTCTACTGCTCTGCGTCTCAATGTCGCTGAGGCTGCGCTGGTGAGATCCTGCAAAGCCGAAATAGACCGAAATGGATTCTGCTGACCACCTGTGTGAATAGAACAAAAAATTACAAAATGTAAAAGGATTAAAACGGATGTGCTGCGGATCGTCTGTTCTGTATTTTGATGTCTTTATGTGTGTATGAGCACGGCCACATCGTTTGGATGTTGAAATTGGGCTGGCTATATAAAACCCGGCATTGATCATGTCCTCGAGCAAAACGATACTGTCCAGCGAGGCCTCGCCAAGCTCTCATGCATCCAAGCATAAGTCTTGACACGTGACATTTGAAAAGGTATTCTGGTACCAGCTATTTTAATGTAGACCATGTTGCCTTTAAAGTGGCTCCCCGTAGACAATTTTGCCTTTAAACCGGGTCCCCATACTATGTTCCCGTTACACCGCGCCCCTGCACTCCCAAAATAATAGCAGTCCAATCGATTCTCTCCCTCGGAGCAGATGCAGGAAGGATAGGATCTCCGGGTCCCCAGCCAGAATTTTGCGGAGCTCACGGCCATCCCCAGTCAAAAGCACCTACAGTAGTAGAGCTGGCGATGCTTAAACACCAAACGAACGATGTGGCCACAGGCTGCCAAATGTAATGGCTACCCCACTCATTGCACGAAAAAACTAAGTTGGTCTCATCAATGATGGTGCTCGTGGCCTCAGGCTCTCCCAAATCCAAAGTCAAGTGTCTCAGATTGTGTCTCTGAAATCACACATGCTGTGCAGGCTTTGCAGCATGTCAATGCACGTGCCAGAGGGTGTGGCCATGGATGCACTGTCTTTGGACTCTGATCGCCTGCGTGGCAGACTGGGAACACCCCAAGGAAACCGCTGGAACCCACCTCTTGCCAGAGATAAGTGAACCCCGCAGAAGCGAGAACAGCCTGGCACGATGCGCAGCACTTCATGGCCCACCTATGCGGATATCCTGTCTATTGAGCTACAAGTATTTCGGAAGAGACTCCTCAACCTCCGTCCCGAAGGAGCTTCCTTCACCAATGAACTCTGGGCTCTGGAGGCTGAGAAAAATTGAGAAGCAGCTGCAGCAGCTGCGGTTCCTCCAAGATGGTCTGCTTCAACAACTGCTTTCCGTCATGCGTGCGAGGGGTCCTCAGGATGAACTTCGCGGATTCTTTTCTGAGAAGCAAGCATCAGATCTGATATATAAATGAGCCTGCACAGCGGTACGACTGTGCGTTGAGGCTAGTGGCAGAAGTCTGCGAAACGCATATGGTGACGACGTAGTGTACCTATGCCAGACACATCCAGGCACAATGCAAAACCCAACATTCCAAATTCATGCGGCATGGGTGCATGTTGAAGTCTGGATCTGCGGCAAAAGCAATACCTTCCAACCTGGAGAGCAATGCTAGCGGCTTGTCAACTTCTGTCGCAAGGGCAAGAGAGCAACTAAAAACACAATGATTAGGCTTGCTTCAGCTAAGACACGTCACAAACGAGCGCATCACAAGGATGTAGTATGACCTCCAACAACTTTTGCGAACGCATGGGCTCCGGGACTGTTTTCAAGAAGTATTTGACTTGGGCTTTCTATTCCACAAGCACCACTGAATCGCCTTTCTGCGGTCCTGTGATGCCTTCATGAAAAGAGCCAGCGCCATACTCAGACTCCCAATGCCGCTGTTGCTTTCCAATTCCATTTGCAGCGGAATGGTAACGGCCATTGAGGCCGAATCGAGATGAATCGAGAAGATAGCGTTTGATTCAGAAAACACGGGCATCAAGGCGACCACCGGGGTCATGAAGCTGCGGTTGGGTGATGATCGCCAAATCCCACGCACGACAAAAAAGAAGAGGTAGCAAGAGTATCCCCCCACAAAGGCCGAAAAACCAAAAACCGAATCCCGAAAGTGACGCAAGCACAGGCTCCAGGGAGGGAGGGGCCTCCCACAAAGGCCGAATCCCAAAAACCGAGAATCTCGAGAAAGGCAGCAGGCTCCAGGGAAGGAAGGGTCATAGGCGTAGGCCGAATCCCGAATCAAGAAAGTACACTTTGAGGTTGCTATACGTGTTTAATTACAAAACACGGGCGTCAAGGCAATCATTGGGGTACGGTTGGGCAACGAATTTCCAAACACCGGACGTCAGATCCCACCAAGAACCCAAAAAGAAACAAGAGCAGGAAGAGGCAGCAGGAAGCACATGCCGGGGCGCAATCATGTCTAACTCAGCATCCTTGACATGTCTGGTCACTTTGTCCAAGGGAGTACGCTTTGCGGTCCACTCGGCCGCTGTTGTTCTAGATCTTGCAGTTCGATGCAGTCCAACTGAATGCTATTAGTAACAAGAAGCTACTAGGGGCTCCTGGCATCGCTACTAGGAGCAAGGAAGCTACTAGGGGCTCCTGGCCTTACTACTAGAAGCAATGTTTGCAATTAGGTTGGAGGCTATCAGCCAGATCGACAAGTTGACCGCAGAGTGAAACCAGAAATGATGCCCAAAGAGTGAAACAGTGAAGCGCCAAAACCAAACCGGAAGGAATCCTCCTTACAAGGGGCCTACCCCATCGAAGGCCAAACCCGAAATTAGATTCGCGAAGACCAAATTCTCGAATCCAACTTTCACCGGAGATCGGATCACCACTCGTCCACTTGGTCGCCAGTCTTTGCATAACTTCTCAGCTCCACACGGAAGGGTGAAGTAGTAGCCTTGTTGCAAAACTGTGAAAATGTGACCGAACTTTCATTTTGAAGGGAAAGACTAGATGCAATATATGACACCGAAGAAGGGGAAGCCAGTCCCTGTAGGAGTTGAGACGGAGAAGTCGAAAACATATTATTGTTTTATAGGCTAGGGTGAAGTCGAAGCTGCACTTACTTCTTACGTTTTTTAAGGTTTTAGCCACCGGAGAACAGAAGGCAAGGATACGTAAAGTTTCACATTGAGGCTCGATATGGTAGAGCCTGTATACACAAGGCCTTCACTAACCCCCATCCACTCCCCCATCCACTGTTACTTTTCATAGGATAGACTTGGGTCCCGCGTTCTTGGTTGGACATTTACAGTTCTAGGGGGTGTCCTTTTTCTTCCGGGTTATCCTTAGACTGTGGCAACTATTCCAGGAGGACCATTGCACCCAACCTTCCCAATCAATCTGCTTACACACAAGGCTAGTCAGTGATTTCAACTCAGCTACTAGCGCGACTTTCCTCTCCTATCATTCTGAAAACAATGCAATGATCGTCCAGTCTCCTGGCCTCACCAGGACCAAGACCCTCAAAACCTTCCATTCTCACTACCTTTCGGACCGCCTACCTGGGTTGTACAGTCCTGCGTTACGAGCTCACTGCGTTCGCCCATCGAGGACTCAGCCAAGCCTATCGGCTGGCTTTCATAATTTTGTTTAAAGCTCGAGGGCGTTAGGCCGCTAGGAGGTAGGTTGGCTAGTAGGGAGAGGTAGCTACAGTAGTAGCTTTAGTAGCTACTAGTATGGACGCAGGATAGCTCACGCTTCTTCAACGAACCTCCCCCACCGCCTTTAAGGCGGCGGGGGGAGCTTCCTTGAAAACAAGTGCTCACACTAATGATTTTGGTTTCTAGAGTTTTAGGGAAACTTATATTAACTACAGTATATGACTATGACTTGACTAGATGCAATATATGACATTATATGACTATGACTATGACTGGTCTAAACATTGCCCAGCGGCGAAAAGCCAGGCTGCTTAACTCTTCGTACAGCCTTTGCCCCAAGAGTAGGTCAAAAGCAAAGGAAGTATCAGCATCGTCTGTGAGTCAAGACCAAGTGCCAGGCTGCCCAAATGCCCGGCGCCGGTCCAAACCCATGCTATCCTACTTGGTGGCAACTGCAGACTGGCATGGCCGGCATTTTAGCTTTTGATAACTTGGCATGTGGAATGAAGACCCGGCAACTACACACCCGTCCTGCACAATGCGGTCCTTGCCATCGCCTCCTGTCAAGGCTTCTTCAAGGGCCTCCGCAAAAGGCCTGCCAGGAGGAAGTTTAGCTGGCATTATTGGGAGAAGCGAAAAGCATCACCTGACAAGCCAGGCACACTGGGTTTCGCCCGGTCGCATTAACTCCGCATCATCCCGATCAGAATTTAGAATGCCCATTCCTCTGAAGCACGGCCTGAAGCACTGAAGCTTGGCTGGTGCCACATTGTGAGCGCTGGCTTGGGCGGGGGCACAAGTGCACGATAGTCTTCTGCCAAAAGGCTCAAAATAGCTGAAGCCATACTTTCCTCGACGAAACGTGTATAGTGGCAATGGCACAAAAAGACCCTGCAGCTTCCGCTCCCTTGTTGGGGATTGAATGCCAACATATGCCACACGAGAATCAGTCCTGGTGGATGTCTGTCATTTGGGCAACTAGCCCGAAGTCGATCAACCCAAGCCGCCCATCATCCAGGAGCATCCTGCTCTAGACAATGGATGTGAAGAGGCAAAAGGTACACAGTAAATATATACAAATGATTTTACAAATGATGGATGCAGTCGGCCAAGCAAAGCCAAGTGGCATATTACCCTCATGCGGGTCACAATGCACGAAACCAGCATCCATGAGCTGCCTGCTGTATGGGCTGGAACACATGACGTCACAGTCCACAGTACAAATTTCTTTCAAGCACAGGTGATTGAACTAAACTGCTGCATGCCGGAATGGCAGCGACAAGCATGGCCTTGGCAGTGAAACATAAAACAGCAATATATATATATATATACGTTAACTAATTTTTGCTTGCTGCTATCCCAAGAATCTGTCCACTTTCCCCAGACTGAGATGCTGACGCAGCTAAGTTCACCAAGCGGAGCTTCTCCTTGGCGGTCAACTCCCTCGGCTTGCGGCCCTGCAGCCAACTGGTAGTCAGAACCTGGCAACACTCTGGCTTCTCGACGTGTCAGTGTGTGCCTGTGTGTATGTGCACACTGAAATGCACCGCGAAATCATGCGCAACGAGGTTCATGGTGGGTCGATTCACCCAAGACCGACACAACGCAACAAAGAGCTAAACGAAACCTAAAGCGACAAGGCCACACTCTCTGCAGAGGCCCAAAGAAGAAAATTGCGCTGCCAAATGCTGCCAAGGGAAACCCCACCAAAATCAAACAGCCCTGGCAAATTATTCTGGCACCAAGCATGGCATTACAGTAAGCACACAATGCCAAAGGATTCATCTGAAAATAGCTTCTACGCCACGGCGACGGCGCAAGGCACACCCATATGCTAACTGCAGGGACAAGGGTTTTACTGCACGAAGGCCGCATCCTGCCCACAACCAAGTAGGATCCTGCCGGCCTGCACCCCCTTCCAACAGAATGAGCAAACGACAAAGGCATCAAACCTGTTCCTGCATCAACCTCCGAGTAGCGAGATGCTCTTCAACCACTGAGATGGCCTCGAGCTTCAAGTTGTTGCCAGTGGCCCTACACCAAATGCCCTCCAGTCCCCTTCTTTCAGAACCTATCTCATTACACACAAATTATTTATTCACTAAACTAAGTTTGCCAGCAAATTAGCCCTTACTTAACTAAGTAGCTGCCTACTTAGTTAAGCAAGAGGTGCTTTCTTAAAAACTACTGTATCTAATGTGAGTCATAGTCTTTGTCTCATCACTTCGTTGTTGTGCCAACTCCTGGACTTTGCAAGGTGCCGGCGTGCGACGCTGTTCTCAGCTTTCATGTGATACTGGGGGCTGGGTGGCGACGTGCGGAAGGATTTGCTTACATGGTTTAGAACTCCCAAATTTGCTAAACATGTGCAGGATTAAAAGAAAAATAACTTCTAGCCAGCTCTTACTTACAGTGATTAAGTAGGCGCCTGCATAATTAAGTAGGATTGTGTGCACCCTTTGCTGCATACTTAGTTACAATAGTGCCAGAAATGTAGAAATTGGCTACCCGCTTCGTCTCAACCAAGCCTTGACCTTCGTGCGTGACCAAATTACCTCCCGGCACATCAATATGCGTTTTCATAAAACACATAAAGTAGAAACACGCTCAACAAACAATTGAACACATGCCTCTGGCACCACGACATCAGGGCAACTATGTCCATAAAGGTCTCGGAATTTTTCTATGTGCTGTGCCTGCCCGACTCAAGAACCCCTGGCCAGTTGCCGATGAAGCTGCAGTGTTGCTATTGATTGATGATATATTCCTATGAATTACGGTGTTCCCTTTGTGTGTGTGTGTGTCAAGACTGGCCTCCATGGTAAAGTCCAACTCGGCAAACAGGCCATCTGCAACTTCTGCCAACACAGACCTTGCCGCATTGCCACTCTTCAAACCACCGACGCACTACTGTAGCTATATGAAGTGCAGAACCATGTCACAAGAGCATAGGAAGTAGGACCAACATGGGCCAATCAACCATTTGCAAACGAGTGAGCGGCTGAATTTCAGCAGTTTCACCAACCGTTTTCCCAAAGGATTGAAATAAGTACTCGGGAGCCCTAGCCCACCCCAGCCTTCTGAAGTAAAGATTTGATGACGTCAGGCAAGCGAGCGCCCAGCCGAGTTTGCAACAAAACTACAAATGACGAAGTGATCTCGATATGAAAGCAGAATGGACTCAGAATGGACCGATAGGAACGTGGCAGGGTGGCGCATATGGCATATGTTTTGGCACGGCACACAAGATGAGATGAAACAAAAAAATGTGAGATGATGTGAGGATGCGACATCACTGTGTAGCAAAAAACTAATATTCAAATCAGCCCGCGGGATACAGTATGTCCAAAATGCATTCCGCTAGAGCCCGCTTTGCAGAGGTGCCCTCTTTTGCCCCGAGACGGCCTCCAAACAAAGCACAAAAAGGCAGCAACATGCAGCAACAAAAATTGATCCTTAAGGTCTTTTCTGGGGGAGTTTTGTGCTGGAACATGCTAGAACCCACTACTACCCACTACCCACTACCCACTACCTACTACTACCTACTACTACTACTACTACTACTACTACTCCTACTCCTACTCCTACTACCACTACCACTACCACTACCACTACGACTACTACTACTACTACTACTCCTACTACTACTACTACTACTCCTACTCCTACTCCTACTCCTACTACTACTACTACTACTACTGTTACCACTAAAAATACAACAACAACAACAACAACAACAACAACTACTACTACTACTACTACTACGACTACCACCTACCACTACCTTCTACTACCTGCCACTACTATCTACTACTATCTACTACTACCTACTACTGCCTACTACTACTACTACCACCACCACCACCACCACCACTACTACTACTACATGCTACTACAACTACCTACTACCTGCTACTACCACCACTACTACTACTACTACTACATGCTACTACAACTACCTACTACCTACTACTACCTACTACTACCTACTACTACCTACTACCTACTACTACCTACTACCTACTACTTACTACCTACTACTTACTTCCTACTACTTACTACCTACTACTTACTACCTACTACCTACTACTACTACCACCACCACCACCACCACCACCACCTACTACTACGACTTGAGGCCGAGGGTAGGTGACGAAAGCTAGCAGGGGTGCATCCGGACTGGTGGGACATCAAGCGGAGTGAGGCAAATGCTCATGAGGTAAAACGTTGTGAACATGTAAGACACACAAACAGCAATGGCACAGCCAACCTTAGAATTGAAGTCCCCGATAATTAAGGAAGCGTGGCTGGACTTTGCCACACTGTTCGATGCGTCCGATGTGTTCACGAACCTGTGAGCTTGTTGAATCTGTTGCACCGTATCCCAAAACCTCCACGGAGGAGTTGAACCAGTGTGGATGCCATAAGAGGTGTCCAAGAGGTGTCCCAGAGGCAAAACAAAGCTGCTTGCATGATTTGTTTGGTTTCTTCTATCGATGTCGATGTCATGAACATGTGAGCTTGTTGAATCTGTTGCACCGTATCCCGGAGGAGTTAAGCCAAAGTGGATGCCATAAGAGATGCCCGAGAGGTGTCCCAGAGGCGTCCGAGGGGGGAGTTGAACCCACGGGGGAGGGGTGGGGGGCCCCCCCCTACATATGAAGTTTTCACGTGATGCGGCGATCCCGAGGATTCCAGCCCCTCACTTGCTAAAGCAAGGACAACTCCAGCTAGCTGGTGCTAGCTTTCGTGACTACTATTACTACTACTACTCCTACTACTAATACTACTACTACTACGTACTACTACTACGTACTACTACTACGTACTACTACTACGTACTACTACTACTACTACTACTACTACTACTACTACTACTACTACTACGTACTACTACTACGTACTACTACTACGTACTACTACTACTACTACTCCTACTCCTACTCCTACTCCTACTACTACTACTACTACTACTACTACTACTACTACTACTACTACTAACTACTAACTACTAACTACTAACTACTAACTACTAACTAC